TGATCCTTCGCTGATGCAGTGGAACATGAATACCGTACTTCCGTTGGGCATCGTGGCGCAGGTCCAGGTACGGGTGATTGTGGTGCCAATCTTGGTTCATGACACCGCTCATGACACCGCTCATTGCCGATGCGACTGGAGGCTCCAGTGCAAAGCGATTCCACGCCAGTCCATCAGTCTACTACTACTGCTGCTGCTACAACCTTCCACCACGCTACTGAGCGTGCGTGGTGGAAGTGGTGATCTCACACGAATTGGCCAAGGGAGGTGTGTGTGTGCTTTTATTATTAGCATCGACCGCGCTAACCGGCTGACCAATGAAAAGACGTCAGTCTCAGTGTGTGTGTGTGTGTGTTGTTAACATGTGTGTGTGCGTGCGTGTGTGTGTTGGGTATCTCTAGCTGTGTGCTTGCTTGAGGCCGCTCTGATGTCCCTGCTCCTTGTTGTTGTGTCGTTGTTGTGTGTGCTACTGTTGGCTGTGCCGATGTCATCATGTATTTGTGCGCGTCATGTGTAGTCAACCAAAATTTGTACAAACAAGTACTTGATGTGTTGTGTTTTCAAAAGAAAAAACTCCGCTGCCGCCGCTGCTGCTGCTACTCCTTCTCTCTTCCAGACGAATAGAGCCAAGGCGCGTGTTGAGAAGCTCAAGGCTAACGAACCGGAGGAACCGGAGCAAGCGGCACCTGGGGAGGAGAAGGGAGAGGGTGGTGGGGAGTTGCTCTCTGCAGAGGATGAGAAGAAGGTGCTGATGCGCGTCATCAAAAAGAGGCTCAAACCCGGCGGAAAAAATGGTGAGACTGCTGCACGGCTTTCTAAGAGCTTCGTGGAAGGGGGGGTGTCTCTCAACACGACTCCGCAGCTGCTTCAGTCTACCGTGTTTCACGCCACGGGTGTAAAATTGAAACAATATCTCAACATCACGTGTCCGCGCAACACGGTAAAGGTTCTTGCTCTCGGCATTACGCAGCTCGATGGCGAGGAGTTGGTCAAAGCAGTTGTCAGGGCGCCCTTTTTGTTGATTGTGGGTGACGAGTCGCTCCGCAACCGGGACAAGAAGTTCCCTGTCTTCGTCGCTTTTCACGACGTGGAGGCGGACGCGCCGTGGTTTGGCCTGTTGCGCGTATGCAGCATGAAAGACAAAACGGCAGAAACGCAGGCTCAGCTGTTTTACGAAACGATCGTCGACACGCTTGGCTACCCAAAACACCAGGTGCTCTTCGTCTTGGGTGATAACACCGATCTGTTTCCTCCGAGGGGAAGGGTTGTGTGAAGCTGTTGCAGAGAAAGCTACGGGGTGAGGACACCACCAAGAAACCCACCAACAGAGCTACAGGGGGAGCCAGCAGCAATAGTGGTCGTGGTGTCCAGCCACGAAACGTACCGGCGGCGGCAGCGGGGCGGGCGGGGCG